CTGACTGGAAGTTCTACGTCTGTGTCAAGGATACCGGATCCGCAGCCAAACAAATAAGAGCCGGTGTACCACTGGGCAACTGTCTTTCGCCGATCCTGTACGTTGCTTATACTAATGACATACCTACTCTGGCAGGTCACCTACGCGAATGGGAGGATTACGTAGAGCTGGCTCTATATTGCGGACGATAGCGCCTACTTTAAATCGTCCAGAAGAGCCCATATTGCCACCGCCAAGATGCAGCACCTGCTGGACCTGCTGCGACTGTAGCTGGATGAGTGGAGGATGATCGTCGATATTGGGAATACGACCGCTCTAGTCACCCGCCACTTTACGAAGTTCCCACACCCGTTAACGCTAAGAGGCCAGGAAATTTCGTATGAGAAGGCCGTGACCTACCTTGGATGCCACATAGACAGGATGTTCCGCATGACTGCACACGTCAACATCGTCGTCCCCAATTCGAGATATGTGTGGGCGATGCTCCGTCCCGTCCTGGCATCCAAGCGCTCAATAAGAACTAAGCTAAAGATATACAAGATTTACATAAGACCTAAAACTACCTATGCTGATCCGGCCTGGTACGCACTCCTGAGCGAACGGCAGAGAAAGCGGCTGTAGGCCCAGCAGAATGTATGCCAGCGTTTTGAAATTAAAAAGCACTTGATTCATTAAATGTACAATTTTTTGGAAGGTAGTCTGAAAAATCATCGAAAGAGCAATAGCAGAAATATAGTTGACAAAAATTATAGCGTCTAGAAATAAGTTATATATAAAATGAGTTTTATTATTTTTCTATGATTTTTCAAATAAAAATGTATTTTAATCAAAGCCACAGAAAAGAACAAACATTTTTGGGAATATCAAATGACTTAAATAATTTTACTCTATTTAAATGTTGCCATTTAGTATATTCATACTATTTTCGTATACACTTTGTAAGACTACCAACACAACACACAAAATATTTTTATATTAAGTTATTTTTAGTAATAACTGTACTATCAGTAATAATAAAAATAAAAGTGATATGGCTGAGAATAAGTCTACAAAGAATTTCCTACAATAATACATTATCTCAATCATAGTACTATGTAACAATTCCATTTAATGTTATGTCAACACTAGCTAAAATAAAATGTCACTGTTTTTTTTTTACTGGCTGTACGGCTCTGGGTTCTAGCCCTTCTGAGAATGTCACTATGATACAAAAGCCCTGGAGCCATGCCAGAAATAAACATTTATAGTATGCAAATATATAATAGAGATACAATAATCTAAAAACTCTCAATTATGTATTATGTATTAAGCTAACATCAAACAACCACAGGAAGCATGACTTTTTCCAAGTGACATAGGACAAAACCTAAAAAGGTTCAAATGTAAATATCTTTTTTTTGACGCCTTCTCAGTACAAAATTCTTTGACAGAGTTATTAAGGGACTGCCGCTTAACATTTTAAGATATTTTTGATATATAGACGCTACCATTCCTTCTCAACTAATTTTATGTATGAAAGTCTGCCATTGTTCTTTACGAGCGTATAACAGTTTAGGTGAACCCAAAAACAATGAGGGCGTCCACGACTTTTTTGCCACCAGTGCGGCGCCAAGTTAATTTGTTAGAAAAGTGTAGAGATTAATGTTTCTTTAAGAAATATTATTTATATTTTATATTAATAACACTATTAATAGAAGAACAAATAAAAGTTAAAAATGTGTAAATAATTAAAGAATACAGCACTGAGGCATTTTTTTTGTATATGCATACACTAGAAATTTAAAATGCAACTCTTCAACGATGATGACACTGTGTGACCATATTCGTAACAAATACGTTCACCTTAGCACAGATTAAATAGTTTGGAAAATCCAAAGGTGCATGCTTTATGATCGTTTCATTTAATTTTGATGAAAAAAATAAATTCAAATTCAAATCGTTTATTGCGAATATAGGTTGATACAGTTGGTGTTTACGTAGTTTATCACTTATAGAACAAACATTTAGTACAACTAAGTATATTCCGCCATTTGGCATGCAATGTCCATCACATTTTATTACTTTTATATTAAATTACTTAAACATACTCTAGTTATAATTCGAGTTCACATGATACAAAATCAAAAATAATAGCGATAAGTCAATTTAGATAATATTATATAAGTCAAGTCAATTTAGTTATTCTGAGTCACGTAACAGTCAATTATTGAATTTCATATTTGTCTTCGAGATATTCTTTCACACTGTAGTATGCGCTATTAAGAAGAAATTGCTTCAATAGTATTTTAAACTTAAACTTATCTACTTAGTTATTGTAACGTTAATAATAATATGGATTTAATGTCTAGCTAAAAGTATAAGAATGATTTTATTTAGCGAAATTGAAGTATATGGCCACATATCGAGAGTAGAGTCCCTCACGTTGTGAGGCGTGCAATAATGTTATAAATCTTTTTCCATATTATACTAAGCCAGCGCTTAACTACAATCCCATCTGATGGTGAGTGGTTATGATGTATCCTAAGATGGTGAAGCGCACTGACTTAACAAAAGCCTATTCACTCTTGCCTTGAAGACACTCCCATTGTAATCGGATGGAAACACAGATGCTGGCAACTTATTTCACTTCTTTACTGTACGCATCACGAACAATGTAGCAAACCGTTTAATTCGAATGCGTGATAAGTCAACAACGAAACTGGAGTGTGAGTGTGAGAGTGGTGACTGGCCGAATGTGTGGTTGTCCGATGGTAGATGGGAGAGGGAGGAATTCATTTATGCAATTCCTAAGCACACTCTCCGAAATGCATCCCGTAGAAAACCGAAAGGCTTGACTACTTTGCGCCTGTGTTCGAAGCTAGTAAGATTGGTTTTAACCAAATTTGGGTCACCAATAAGCCTCTTAGCACGCCTTTCCATTGAGTCCAAAGCTGCTAGGTGGTATTTTGTAGCACCATATGGCAGCAATACTCCATGCGCGACCGGACTTGCGCTTTATATAAAATAAGCAGCTGTCTCGGCGTGAAGTATCGTCGCACCTTTGCAAGGACTCCTAGCTTCCTTGCAGCTGCTTTGGCCTTGGACTCAATGAACCGCCCGAAGTTCAGATTTGAGGATATCTCAACCCCAACAATTGATGTCGGTCGATGTATTCCAGTGATACATTTCGGAAAGAAGGATCGTAAGATTGTTGATCCTTATTGGGATATGATTATCATATTTATGTTCGCTAATCAACTAGACGCTAAATGGAGTACTAGGTGGGAGGAATATAGAAATAGCCTAACGGATAATTCTACACTAGGATTTTTTTAAACCAAAGACAAATTCGATAATTAAATTTCATGTGAACGTTTACCGTGTAGTGGCGTTACAACAATATCCACTACCTCATATCATACCGTGGGTGTCGTAAGAAGCGACAGAGGTAAACAAACCAGAAGGCAGGCAGCAGCGTCTTCCTATTGTTACGAGCTTGGGGTTCGAGACAATTAAAAACTGCCGATTGAATTACCAAAATTGACACTTTAATTACACAACACTAATTACAATCTAAAACCACACAATTATAAAACACAATTGTCACTTTGGTTCGTAATTATTTCGTTTCGAATTATTCTCTTGTATCGCCAATTCAATACTGCCCTGGTCGTGGTCTATACCGGCCTTATATAGGGCCTTACTAGTGTAATTTGTGCACACCTAAAAACACAGGAAGGCATTTTTACCACGAATAACTAGAAGATTTACGCGCTGTAGCGAAGGTATAGCTGCGACGCGAGAGCGTGCCCAACTGAATGCGAGTCGGGCAATTACCTGACTTTCGTATTGCCATTTTAGAGCGACTATGACGTATCTATACTTTAAAAACTATGGAGTGTAGAGTAGAAGGAGAACCATCTCTGTATATGAAAAGTGTCCCTAAAAACGCGTCCAATAAGGGTGGCGCTGTAGTAGCATAGGATAAATTAAAAAAAAAAGCGCCAAAATTTATTAGAATAAGATGGAGAAATAAACAAGGACCGACCAATCCGCTTGGTTTTGTACTACGTAAATAGTTGAGGTTTTGTATACTGGCATTTTACTAACTACTCTAGTCATGAAATTTTATAAATATTTTAATTCAGCTGACTTCACTCCGTCTACAACAGCTATATTCATATCGTAGTTTTTCAGACACAGATTGGGTAATCTATGTTTTCAGACGACAGCGCTATTGTGGTAGGTTTTGGAACCTCTATTTTCAGTATATATTGGGACACTTTTTCAACTTTCGCACCTTATAAGATGGTTCTCCTTCTACTCTACACTCCATATTTAAAAACATCTTAGCATGGGCCTAGCTGTTAGATTCGATGTTGCCAATTAACATATATAACAATGATAGCAAATGTGCTATCTTATTATTTACTTTTCAACTCAGCCAAGTTTTTGGCTACCAAGACTGCTTTTATTGAGCATAATCATTTGACATTTAATTTGGAACCAGTTCCAACTAATTTAAATTAGTGAATGTGACAATAGAGGCAATCTCTAGCAATAATAAGAGTTTAATTAATTTTGAATACAGCCCACAAATAAGTAATAAAAATTGTTTACACCTGGTGCATCAAAATATACAAGGCATGTTGGGCAAAGAATTGGAAGTTGAATTGTTTTTAAATAGTAACAATATACACATCCTTTGTATTACTGAACATTGGCTAAAAGATTATAATTTCATGTTTAATTTCAGAAATCACCAGGTGGTCAGTTCCTTCAATAGAGAAAAAAGTTTACGTGGTGGCTCCTTAATATTAGCAGATAAATCATTATTATATAAAGAACGTAAGGATATTGTGAGCCTCTCTGTTGAACGAACTGTAGAAATGGCTTGTGTCGAGCTCGAGCACCTCATTGTTGTAAGTGTTTACAGACCCCCATGTGCTACTTATGACCATTTTGAAAGGATTGTGGAAGAAGTTTTACTCAAACTTAGTAAACAGAACAAGTCTGTTGTAATGTGTGGAGACTTTAATATCAATCTCCTTGAAACTTCTTCCATTAGTATTAAGTTTAGCTCATTGTTTAAATCGTATAATCTTGTAAATTTATTCTTAGAACCAACACGTATTGCTGGGCCTAGTGCGACCTGTATAGATAACATTTTTACAGATGTTAAGCCCTTGCATAAATCAATTATTCAAAATTTAAGTTCAGATCACTGTGGACAGTTAGTATCACTACCTTACATACACAAAAAACAGAAAAATAAGAAAGTTGTGTTTGTTCCAATAAATGAACATCGCTTGGAGAGGTTTAGAAGTAATATAATAAAAAGACTTCCATCACTTTCGTTTAAAAATAGTGCTAATTATTTGTATGCTACATTATTTGAAATTATACGTTGTGAATTTAGTAGAATATTTACTTCTAAAACTTTCTCTTTTAACAGTCGCAAATCATTTAATGAATGGGCGACAGTAGGAATTTATAAAAGTAGGCGAAGGTTATACGAGCTTTATGATGAAAGATCATATAATAGTAGTGTTATATTTAGAGATTATGTAAAAACATATTCTAAAATATTTAAAAAAGTGTGCTCCACTGCTAAGGCTTTACATTTAAGCAACAAAATTAAAACTGCATCCGACAAAATTAAAATGACCTGGAGAATAATAAATAGTGAAACGGGCAAGGTCAAACCGCGCAACTCGGTTTTTCAATTGAATATTAACAATAATTTAACGCGATCTGATCAAGAAGTTGCTATGGCTTTTGAGAAACATTTTACTGATGTTCCTTTTTTGACAACAAAATCATTAAATTCTTCTCCTACTGTCGCCGAATCATTGCTCAAACAAAATGTAAAGGCTTGTTCAAATACTTTTAAATTCCATAGGGTACTGCCAAAAGATATCGTTAAATATTTTAAAACTATTGATGTTAAGAAAACGGCAGACTTATGGGGGATTTCCGTTAAAGTTATTTTATCTATAATAGATACATTAGCACCTTATCTAGCCACTATATTTAATATAAGCGTCGAATCTGGTGTGTTTCCTGATTTAATGAAACATAGTAAAGTCATACCTATATTTAAATCTGGTAGTACATTAGACCCCGCAAATTTTAGACCAATTTCTGTACTACCAACATTAAGTAAAATTTTTGAAAAAATTATTTTAGATCAGATGTTAAGTTTCTTTACTATTAATAAATTGCTACATAATAATCAATTCGGTTTTACAAGGGGTCGCTCGACAACTGACGCTGGAGTTGAGCTTATTAAACATATTTTTTGTGCATGGGAGAATTCAGAGGATGCTTTGGGTATATTTTGTGACCTTTCCAAGGCCTTCGACTGTGTTCACCATGAGACATTAATCAGGAAGCTACAGTACTATGGTGTCAAGAACACAGCGCTTAAACTTATTATTTCATATTTAAGTAATAGAAAACAGAAGGTTATTATCAATGGTAAAAGTTCTTCCGGGTCACCTGTACTAATGGGTGTACCTCAGGGCTCGATTCTCGGCCCATTCCTGTTTCTGGTGTATATTAATGACTTACCTCACCTTGTAGGGGATAGTCATGATATAGTATTATTTGCTGATGATACTTCCTTGATTTTTAAACTTAAACGTCAATCATTTAAATGTGACGAAGTGAATAATGCTATATCAAAATTAGTGCATTGGTTTAACGTTAATAATCTGCATTTGAACGGAAATAAAACTAATTGTGTTAAATTTACAACAACGAATGTTCAAAATCTGAACACCAATGTGTTTTTAAATGGGGAGGAATTGAGCCCTGTTGTATCCACTGTTTTTCTTGGCATCACTCTTGACGCAAAGCTCCAGTGGGGCCCCCATATATCCAAATTAGCAAGCAGACTAAGTTCTGCAGCCTATGCTGTAAAAAAGATAAGAGGTCTCACTAGTGTCGAGACAGCTAGATTAGTTTATTTTAGTTATTTTCATAGCATAATGTCTTATGGGATTTTGCTATGGGGAAATGCGGCTGATTCAGAAACTATTTTTGTTTTACAGAAGAGGGCCATTAGAGCTATTTACAATCTAAAACCGAGAGAGTCTCTTAGAGATAAATTCAAAGAAATTAATATATTAACTTTGGCCTCTCAGTATATTTACGAAAATTTAATGTATGTTCACAAAAACAAAGATAGTTTTAGTAAAAGAAGTGATATACATTCTGTAAACACTAGGAACAAACACAAGCTAGTGATACCAGTTTCTCGACTCCACAGAGTCAGTAATTCATTCTTGGGGCAATGTATACGCTATTACAACAAGGTCCCGGAAAGTGTACAGGTTCTCTCTATTACCAAGTTTAAATGTTTTATTAAGCTGAAACTGTATAAAAAGGGTTATTATAGTATAAATGAATACATGGTTGATAATAACCCCTGGGAATGAGGTGATCGCTTCCAAGCAGTTTCTAAAATAAATTTTGTAAATAGTTCGTAATCATTTCTATTGTAAAATTTATTTAAAAAAAAAAGTCCCGCTGGGTTTCTTGCTGGTTCTTCCCAGGACAGAGGGTTTTTTCGAACCAGTGGTAAAATAAAAAATGACTTTCAATAAGAATTACACATGTAATGTATATTGAATAAAAAACATTCTATTCTATTCTATTCTATTCTAACAGACAATTAATCGATAAATAGATAGCGATTTTTTATTCGATTTATAATTTCATAAAAAAGAATATTTTTTGATTGGCAGTTCTGCACGCCTTTTAAAATATGTTTTGTTTAATTTATTTAAATTCAATTTTAAATGTATTTTTAAGAACAGATAAGAATAACAGTTAATTTGTGCAGTAGCATTTTTGTTATGTTCTAAAGAGTTCATGGTAAATCAACTAGCAATTCGCTTGTTTAATTATCATAACATCATAATAATTATCGAAAAATAATATTACACCATAAAAAATCAATTGAAAAAACAGAATCGACTTTTTTAACGAGGTTTGTAATTGGCAACACTTTTTATTTTATCCACAAAATAATGAATTGCGGATTTACCTAATTTTCTTTTTATCTTTTGGTACTTTTTTGTTGCTAAAATATTGCAATCTTTTTTGGATACATAAATACCGCGATCAATTACCATAAAAAAGATGTATTTTTTAACCAATGCAAATTGTTGAGTATTTCATGGCCAGAATTGGGCATTTCTATTTAGAACTCCGGATATAAGCAAAATCATATAATGATCCTAATATCTCGTTTGATTTGACTGCACTCAACTGGCACTTTTCTGAGTCTCCGATTTCTATTGATGACTTTATTATGTCTACTACAGTTAATTTTCTCTCTAATATTCCTAAATTGTTGTGCTCTCTTTTTAATTTCAGTAAAGTTACTGATGGTGACATAAAAATGCCTTTTATCTATTTCCACTAAAGCTATTGGTTATGAGAATCTTTGTATGCAAATGATTAAGCCTATCACTAATGGACCTGTCCCTATTATCACTCATATTATGTCTTCTTCGCTTGAAACGAGCTCCTTTCTGACTTGCGGGAAAAGGCATTCGTCATTCCCTTTCCAAAAAACTTCTAATCCTACGTCTTTATCCCAATTAAGTCCTATTTCTATTCTTCCGATCTTATCTTAAGTACTAAATATATAGTTCAGAGGCAACTATCTCACTTGCTAACTGTTCACAGCCTACTGAGTCCTTTTAAATCTGGTTTTCGTCCAGGCCATAGCACAGTCAGCGCTCTGATTAAAGTGTCTGTTGATATTCGCTGGGTCATTGACAAAATACTTCTCACTGTTCTAACAGTGTGTTCGCCATGAGGAGGATTTCTCCGAGTTGTGTGATCTTACGGTGGGTGTTCGTCAGGGTGGTGTTCTTTCAACACTTCTCTTCTGTATTTTCATCAATGCTCTCACTATTGTTCTCTCCTCTCATTACCATCTCTATGCTGACGACTTGCAATTGTACCATCATTTCAAAGCAAAGATATAGAGGAGGCTATTAATAAGCTGAATTCTGACTTAAGTAGCATAATCAGTTGAGCAAAACCATTTGATCTTGTTAACCCTGCTAAATCCCAAGTAATGATTATCGGCAGCTCACATATGCTTAACTTATTAGACCGTTCGAATCTCCCTGCAGTAAGAGACTGCTAAGAACTTAGGCACTATCTTTGAAAATAATTTGTCTTGGGTTGCTCACATTAATAAGATTAGCAGAAAAGTGAACCACACTTTTCAATCTCTCAAGCGCCTCCAGATGTTTTACCGTTAAAAACTAAGATAACCTTAGCTCAAGCACTTCTTCTACCATACATTGACCACGCTGATGTTAGTTTTTTGGATGCTTCAACGAAGCTGTTGAACAAACTGGAACGTCCTCAAAATTTGTGTATACGTTTTATTGTTAGTCTTCGTAAGTATGATCATGTTTCAGAATACAGGGCTCAATTAAAATGGCTTCCTATCTGTAGACGTCGAGACTTACATGTGTTATAATTTCTCTACTTTCCACTCTTTAATCTTCTTGCGTCTCCTTATCTCCGTGAGCGTTTTGAGTATCTTGTACCTTGCGAAACTCAATTATACTTATATTACTCTTATATGTTAATTTTTAACTATAACTTTATAGGGGGTCATTGTAGAAGCGTGCTCGTCGCGACCCCTGCCAGCCCTTTTCAGGGCTGCAATTCTACTCAGCTGCGCACCCATGTCAACGAGGGTTAGGGCGTCCCCCCAAGGCGACGCACACCAGCTCGTCCCCGTTGGTGTGGAATGCAGCGCGCAAAGCGGCGATGGGGACCGCCACCCGTCACGCACAGCCCGACACGGCGGAAGGTGGAGGACGGAGTGCAGAGTTGGCACGTGGAATGTTAGAGGAGGCATGAGAGATAAGACGAATGAGTTGATCGAAATAATGAAAGAAAGAGAATTAGATGTCGTGTGTATGTCGGAGACCAAACGGAAGGGCAGTGGTACTGAAGAGCTCCCTGGCGGAGCGTTAGCTCTATGGTCCGGAGTCCCGGAGAGCGAGAACGCCTGCCAGGGAGTGGGGGTGCTGCTGTCTTCTCGGTTGGTCGATGTTATGACTGAATATAAGTTTATGAACTCAAGACTTCTCTGGGTTCGCTTTAAATTGGGACTGACGAAGTTATTCCTTTTGGCTGTTTATGCGCCGGTGGCTTCGTCGTCCAGGGCTGAGCTGGAGGAGTTTTGGGAGAATGTAAGAGAAGTTCTAGATTTGGCTAGGGGAAACGAAAGGATTGTTGTATGTGGTGATTTGAATGGATGGGTTGGTACCGCTCGACCAGGGTACGAGTCGGTACTTGGAAAGTTTGGCGATAAAAGGGTTAATGATGCTGGCAAGCTTATACTGGCGGTATGCAAGGAAAAGGGTCTTCTTGTGACAAACACTATGTTTAATCACAAGAAAATCCATATGTATACTAGAGAAAGAAAGAATGAGAGAAGTATGATCGATTTGTTCCTGGTGGATGACCGACTGCGAAAACAGGTTATGGATACGCGAGTGTTCAGGGGTGCTGACCTGGGAACGGATCACTATCTAGTGATTACTAGATTTAGGGGTCTGTTCGCGGGTTGGCGCTACCGGACGACAGTGACAGAACCACAGTCGGTCTGTCGCATCCGAAGCTGGAAGCTTCAGGAAGCGGATACTAGGGACAAATATCATGCGAGGGTAGCCGAAAAGCTTGACACCATCGATGGCAGAAACGAATGTGTAGAAAGAACATGGCAGAACCTTAGGGATGGAATGGTAAGTGCAGCGGAAGAAGTGTGTGGAACAATAAAAAGAGGCAGTAGTAAAAGAAGAGATGCATGGTGGAATGATGAAGTGAAAGAAGCTGTAAAGAAGAAGAAGAAAGCATGGTTAGACTACTTGGCCTCTAGTAATGATAAGGATATGAGAGAGAAGATGAAAGAAAGATATAAGCTGCAGAAAGTTCACACGAAAGCATTGATTGAGGAAGTGCGTGAAAGGTGTAGAATGGAAGCGGATGAAAGGTTGTCGCACAACTTTAAGGAGAACTCCAAACTCTTCTGGAAAGAGGTTGGAAGGACCCGAAGTGGTGCGACGGCCTTGAGAATGAACAAAGTGCTTTCGAGAACTAATGACGTCCTCTCAGAAAAATCGGACGTCATGCAGCGATGGAGCGAATTTTATAGAGAAATGTATGCGTGTGATGATCTTAGTGAGGGATCCGGGGATGACGCCGTGACTGGCACGCCAGACCCGGACCTCGATGACACTGAGGTCATCAGTATGAAAGAGATTGAACGTGCGATTCGAAGTTTGAAATGTGGTAAGGCTGCGGGACTAGACAGAGTTACTGCTGAAATGGTCAAGTATGGTGGGCCTCGCGTCTGGGACAGCTTTCATCTGCTGTGCAATTTGTGCTGGCGGACGGGGGATGTCCCGGATGATTGGCGATCCGCAGTCATTGTGCCTTTATATAAAGGTAAAGGTTCACATTTTGACTGCGGGTGCTATCGGGCGATCAGCTTGACCAGTTTAGCAAGTAAAGTTTACTCGAAGGTTTTGACACGTAGGATGCAAGAGAAATCGGAAAGATTTCTATGGGAGGCACAATGCGGATTTAGACCTGGAAGAGGATGCACGGATCAAATGTTTTCTCTCCGTATGATCACGGAAAAGCTTCTGGCTGTTAACCAGAAGATTTTCTGTGCTTTTGTGGATCTTGAGAAAGCATTTGATAAGGTTGTAAGGAAGAAAATGTGGGAACTGTTGCCGGGGTATGGTGTGGATGGCCGATTGCTAAGGGCTGTGCAGTCTCTTTACTGTAACTGTAAAGCCTGTGTGCGGGTAGGGCATGACCTGTCACCCATGTTTAGCGTCCAAACGGGCGTAAAACAGGATTGTGTCATGTCTTCCTGGCTGTTCATACTGTATCTCGACAGCTGTTTACAAAAGCTGAAAGATAGCAGTTTGGGTGTGAAATTGGGTGACATAAAAGTAAATTGTCTGCTGTATGCTGATGATGCAGTGCTTATTGCACCATCAGAGGCAGAACTGCAGGCATTAGTCACGTGTATGAAAGAGGAATGTGAAATTAAAGGTTTCCGTTTGAATGCTAATAAAACTAAGGTTCTGGTATTTGAAAGGGACGAAGAGAGAACGAAGTGTGAAATATGGGTAAATCAGGAATGTCTAGAACAGGTAAATGAAATTGTATACTTGGGGAGTGCTTTTAGCCGGGATGGAAGATGTGATTTAGATGTGGACAGGCGTGTCGCTGCCGGGAACAAAGTCAATGGTGCCCTGACTGCGTTAGTCAAAAGGCAAGGCGTAGCGAAGAGTGCACGCCTTGCAATACATAACGCAGTGTTGGTACCGACTTTGTTATATGGCAGCGAAACCTGGGTATGCCAGAAGAAGCATAAAAGTAAGTTGAATGCAGTGGAGATGCGATCTCTTCGTAAAATGTGCGGCGTTACTATGGCCGACCGAATGCGAAACGAAGAGATTCGCAATATGGCAGGTTTGAAAGATGACCTTATCACAAAAATTGATAAGGGCGTGCTTCGGTGGTTTGGGCACGTTGAGCGAATGAGTGAAGACCGAATGGTGAAGAAAATATATAGCGCGAAAGTTAATATTAAAAGGTGTCGAGGTAGACCGAGACTAACTTTCGAAGACCATGTGAGCAAATTGCTCGAAGAGGGTAGGGTCAAGAGTACTCGGATACCTAGACGTGCATGTATGAAGAAGATAATGAATCTGAAAGAAGCGAAAGAGATATGTAAGGATCGTGACACTTGGCGATCTGTTCTCTCTGGCTACCCCGTCAGGGATTGTGCGTGAAGATAAGTAAGTAAGTAAGTAACTTTAGCCAATTTCTATTAAGTAGTGTTTTGTTAATTATTAAGTACGCACGCTGCTTTTTATATAAAACTATTTGTCTTTCCTAAAAGGTTTGCTGGAAGAGAACTCTTATTAGGGTTAAGCTAGCCTTTGTACATCTTATTTGAATATTTAATCATTGTTATGAACTTACAGTGTGTACAATAAAGAATAAATAAAATAAAATAAATAAGCATGCGAATAAATCAATATGAGTCTTATTCATAAACGAGAACAAAAATGCACATTTCATAAGTGGAAAAAAATACTTCATCACAAACCATTTAAAATTGGATATTGTTTATGTTTAAGTACAGTAAAATTATTTCAATTCACATCGATATAATATGTTTTTAATTTGAACATCTGTACAAACATATAAATTTTTAGCTTCATGTGTTTCTAAAAACAATTCGTTATAACTGTATTGTTCTTCAGCAAGTGTTATAGTGTTTGCGTAAAACCGTAACGAAGAAGACTGATTGCTGCAGACGTGTCTACGATTGCGTCCGAGATGCTGACAAAGGCTTTGATACTTTCGCTTGCGGTTACGGCCTGCTTAGGTAAGTTTAAATTCTCAACCGTTTTCTGATCTCAAATATTTATAGGCGAAATAAAAGTAGGAATCACTAAGGACCACAGTCTATCTGATGGTAAAAGGATGCTGCGGCCCATATTAACAACATTGATTCAACATCTTTTATTACGGATCATGATGCACATGCGTTGTCACCTCCAAGAACCAAGATGGGGATACCTTGTTACTGGTTTAATAAAGGTTATTTGATTCTCCGGTTCCGAAATCAAATGCTTTCCTGCTTTATCTTAAATAAATTCACCAATATCAGCTTGGATTTACTAAGGGGCGTTCCATAAATGATGCGAGGATGTGTTTCATTTAGCTTATTTATAGCGCTTGGGAGATTTCATAGAATGCAATAGGTATATTTTGTGATGAATCTAAAATATATGATTGCGTAAGTTACTCAAAAGTACTTCTTAAATAAAAATATTTTGGTCTTAATAAACAGGCTTTTCATTTGTTGGATTCTTACCTTAGTTATAGGAGGAAAAAGGTCCTGATTAATGGTGTAAGTCCTGCAGGTACTGTAATAAAAGTGGATGTTTCACAGGGGTTCATTCTTGGCCCGTTTTTGTATTGTATGCAGATGCTACTTCACTAATATTCAAGGTTAATCAAAAAACTGTGACCGTCAGTGAAGTGAATAGTATTCTGGATAAAGTTTTAATGTGGTTTCATGCGAATAATTTAGCAATTAATATTAAAAAAATTTAATGCATTAAATTTGCGCTGCAAAAAACGGTCGAATGCCACTACTTTGTAGAATAATAAATTAGACTTTATTGGAAAAACGATATTTTTGAGAATCACTCTGGATTGTGGATTGCAATGAGGTCCACACATAGAAATATAAACTTAGATGTGCTATTGGAAAACTCGGTAACTAATGGATGGTGCTACTGATATATTGGTTTACTTTAGTTCCTTTCATAGCATAATGTCATAGTATTTTATGGCGAAGACATGCAGCTGACGTGGTGTTTTTATTTTGTCAAAAAGGGCAGTACGTGCAATTTACAATTTCGCGTTCACGTTATTCGTTAAGGAAACCCTTTAAAGAAATTAATATTCCAACTTTTTCAAGCCAGCGTATTTATGAAAATATTATGTATGTACGCTGTACGTAAACAGAAATATGTTTTGCCAAAAAAAATTAATGATTGATGTCATCGGATTTTATAGATAAAGTAAAAAAAATTATGTTTACTAAGATATTAAGCCTTTCCGAAAGAAAATTCAATAATCACATTTAAAAGTGTGTAGTAACATGCAGTGTATATTACAAAACTTACTGTAATTTAAATGAATACTTTGATGTTAAAGGCACAAGTAACGGTGATATTCCAGTTCAACACCAAGCCATGTTTTGTGAATACATAATAAATTAGTAAAAGCCTCTACTTACGGCGGTATCGTGTGGCAGGTCGTCCACTTCCCTTTGATATGGTTGAGGGCGACGATGACTGCTACATACGCCATACTTGTGAACATGTGCTGGTTGTGGGGACTGGTCTCCTTGGGTTAGCTATTTTCTGATAAGCGCCAAATTTTTAATCGTGTTTTTTTGAGTACATCATAGAACATTACCGATGGGTCTGCTGTTGTTTTCCACTCTGTATATTATGCTAACGCCCTTTCCCCTTTGGGTATATTGCCAATCGCGAGTGCTCTAGTACCTTTCCATTGAAAAAGTGGAAAGGTCAAAATAGACCTAGAAGGTTCTACATTCCTCCTAACTATACCAATATTATAAAGAGAGTGTATGTATATATGGAGGATAACTCCCAAACTATTAAAATAAGCTATATGTTATATATTATATAAAGCTATATATTTATATTATATATATTTAATTAATCTTACAGCAATACATATATCATAGCTAAAAATTATGATGATTATTGTCAAAAAAGTTGAAAAAAGTCGTGACTCGTGAGAGCTTCCATGGCGTGCGCTGCGTCAATAGTTAAAGTTGCACGAAAACGAAAATAATTTATGCCTGAATAGTTCCTCTTACAAAGTCATAAAAAATCCTCTTCAGCTTATCTTCTTATTCAAAGGATAACTCACACAGTAATCATTTTTATATAAAATATCAGGAAATGCGGAAAACATAACAAAAAATTATGCCATGAAATTTTAAAATTAATTATTATTACACAGTTGTTGCAGAATTTCATGAATAATTGCTGAGATGCATATTTATTTAATTTATTATTTTTTGTAAACACCTTACAACTAAGGTAACAATGGGCGGACTTAATGCCCGTCGGCATTCTCTGCCAGTCAACTCGTAACGTGGTGAGCTATTGTGGCACCTATACTTACTACAAACGAAATACACTTAATACAAACTATATAAATATAAATACAAATACATATACATATAAACAATTTTACATGGACATACAAACAATATACATAAATATGTATACCAGGCTACGATCGACTTTCTAATCAGGTGCTAAAATCTACTAAGCACCTGATAATTCCCTCTATTGTGCACATTTGTAACCTGAGTCTTGAATCAGGTTTGTTTCCTGATCAGTTCAAGGTTCTTTTGATAACTCCTATACACAAAGGCGGAGAGAGACAGTATCAGTAACTATCGTCCCATTTCCATTCTACCAGGACTATCTAAAGTTTTATAACGTCTATTAATTAATGGTTTAAAATCATATTTTTCTAAATATAACTTAATTTCTGAAAATCATTTTGGTTTTGTAAACGGAAAACCTACTGAAGATGCAATTTTATCTCTAACAGAGTCACTGTAAGACATGTTGACAGTAATAATAAATGTATAGAAATATTCCTGGACCTCGCAAAGGCGTTCGATACTGTATCTGTATCGATACCGTTAGCTAAGATGGAAAACTGAAGTTGTTCACATACTAATATAATGCAATGCAATGCATACCTATCAAATAGAACTCAACTTGTAAGAATTGGAAGCTTAACGAGTGAAAAAACTAATATTAATTATGGCGTACCTCAAGGTAGCATACTTGGCCCCTACCTTGTTCTTCATATATGAGAATGATCTATGTGGGCTTAAAATGCGCAGTTGTAAAATTGTTGCCTATGTTGATGAGACTGTTCTACTGTTTCATGCAACTTACCGGCACGAAAGCATTGATTTAGCTCAGATAGGTCTCGAAGAAGTAATGTCATGGCTGAGAATGAATTTAGGTACTAACCTTGAACATTGATAAGACGAATTATTTTCTCAAAGCACATATGTGTGGTAACTCTTCTTCACTTATACACATATAAAGGGTTATTTTTCAAAAACCAGTCAAATTTTAAACTTAAGTTCAAATATTATATAAATAATGATATACCGTTATTAAATAGTTTTTTTTTAATAAATTTTGCTGCACCATTTGCCTATATGTATTACTTATACTGAACCTTCTCTGCAAATTTGGCCAGTTATTGCAAAATAACCCTGTATACACACATAATATATTATGCATATAACATAACATGTAAACATGAAAGATGTCTTGTTACAAAAGATGTTCACGAGTTATACTCTTGAACGAATATTTACTTGGAGTTTTTCGTATGTCTTCGGGAAAGGGATTCTAGAGTAATGTAGCCTGAACAGTAAGGGATTTCCTGGAAAATCCAGTGAAATTCTTTAGAACACATGCGTTAAAAAAGAGCTGGGCTGTTTAATATGGAAAAAAGAACAAGCAGAATTCTAGAATTACGCTTCTGTTTGATTGTAAGCCATTTAAGGCGATTAAGATAAAGAGAAACATGATCATACTTTCGAAACCCGTATACGTATCGAATGCAATTATTAAGGAGGCGCTCTACCTTGTTGAGAAGATATTCGTAGTGGACTATATGAGTAAGGGTAATTACTGCTAGGGACGTTATTAAAGAAAAGGTAGTACACTTTACAATTATATATTAAACTATGTACAATGGAGGCAACTATTAATATCTACACAAGAGGGAATATTTTCTTTCGGAGTCTTGAGTTTTGAGTCTTCTTTCTTGAGTGTCTTCTTTGCCGCTTTCGAATTTAATACCTCGATGCGGTTTTTTTTGCGCCCAGAAGCAAAGTAAAGAGCTATCTCCGGGAGGTGGTGAATGCTCTAAGCATAAAACGCAGCTGGCTGCGTGGTTATGTGGGACTCACTGTGAAACCTAAGTGACCTAAATACCACCTGGGACTGGCTTTGGCCTGTGTGGCCTTTCTGCCGAATCGGAAGCGACCCCCTTTACGGAAAGGGGGCGCAGGTGGCGAGTAGCCGTTGAGAGGCGCGCCTAACTAAGACAAATTAAGAATAGGGAGAAGATTCGGCCTGAGCCGCCAGGAGGCAGTTAAGGTCGGCCGAAAGCTTGTTTGGGGGGTCCGAGAGAGAGTTTCTCGGCCTGCTGACTCGATAGCGAGAGGTAAGAGGGGCTGCATAGGAAGCTGCCTCACGAATGAGATGATTAGTGTGAAACTCTGCGGCTTTGAAGAAGTTCTCAGAGAGTGATTTTAGAAATTGTTGGATTGTGGGGAGCTCTAAATCTCGATGGAGGTTGGCGTTACGGACGTATCAGGGTGTGTTCGTAGCCTGACGACAAAAGTAGTTTTGAACTAATTGAAGTTCGTTCAAAATTTTAGGCTTAGCGTGAGCAAAAATGAGGGCCGCATAAGTCATAACTGGTATACAGACCTCATATAGGGTTCGCTTGTTACAGAGGGACATTTTACTGTTTCAGCCCAGCATACTGTTGAGCCTACCCAGATAAAAGCGCGCGTTGCAAGTTATTCTCTTAACATGGGGCTCGAAAGTGAGCCTCGTGTCAAGGGTGACACCTAAGTATTTGGCGGTCGTATGCCAGGGGACAGGCGTCCCTAGCATTGTCCTTAGGATTGGCGGAATGGTAGTGGGGCGGCGTCGTTTATGTTCGAAGTAAACGGCGGAGCTCGTCTCCGGGTTCACATCGATACGCCATTTTGGAACCAAGCTCCTAAGTCATTAACTCACTTTTGGGTCTTGTTCCGTATAAAAGGTAGTGAGATACCTTTACAGTAGAGGGCAGCGTCGTCTGCAAAGAGGGAGAGTTGAACACCATTCGACGGGATGGGAATGTCATTGGTGAACAGGATATATAGAAGAGGGGTAAGCATGGAGCCCTGACGGACACCGACTTTGATATGCCGCTGAGAAGAGAGCGTGCCTTCGTGTCAAAAACGAAAGGTACGATCCTTCAGGCAGGAGGCCACGAGACGAACAAGACAAACAGGGAGGCCTATTTTGTAGAGTTTATAGATAAGGCCTTCGTGCCAGACTCTATCGAATGCCTTTGCTATGTCGAAAAAGACTGCGATGGTCTTATGACGACGAAGATAAAAACCACTGAGAATATATTACACAATACGGTGAACTTGTTGGGGAGAAGAGTGTTTCGCTCGGAAACCAAATTTGTGGGGGATGACAAGAGGGTCTGTGGGAAACAGATGGCGCCTCATATGAGTGAGGATGACTTGTTCGAAGAGTTCGCCCATGGCCTTGAGGAGGCTGATAAGACGATGACTGGAGGGACAGGTATATAAAAATCATAGGAACAATAAGTGGTCAAACCTCCAGGAGGCAGGGGGGTTAAGAACGGTGTGAAAAAGTAAGCAAAACTCACCGACGGCGACTGCTATGCACAGCGTGAGCAGGTAAGCGGAGGCGCGAGAGCGAGAGGGCACTCAACGTACAGGGACGAGAGTGCGGTCAGCTAACACAACCGCTCGAGAGCGGCGGCGCAAGCGGAATGCCTTGATGCGGCCAGATGCCTCTTCTTTTATTCCCGCGGCGGGGGCTCCGTTTTTGTTATGTTCCCACGTGGTGTCGTTGTGCGCTCATTGGCTGCATGCATCACGTGATGTTCGGGCGATGTGCGGGGTGTGCGGGGCGTAACAGGGTATGAGGGAGCGACGGGGCGGCGGCTCCCTTCATCGTCCGTAACAATATTGGTCCCAATTTGGGTAACAAACATCTGCATAATCAATAATGAGTAAAAGAAATGCCTGTACAAGCATGATCTTTGTATTGATAGGTAGAAAATTCTTTAGATGGCATAGAGACGTGGCAGACTTTGCGACTGATTTTAGTGATGTGTATCCCATTTCAATGTACTGTCTACAAGAGCTTGTACATAAGGCCTAGATTTTTTAGAGTTCGAGAATGGTATCAAAAAGTAATTGTAATAAACTGAAGGTAGATTTGATAGATTTATCTTAGACAGCATTCTAGAACTAGCCACAAGTATAGCTGTCGCGAGGTGGTCGCTTCCATGCAGTTTCTAACATAAATTTTGTAAATAGTTTGTACAACCATTAATGTAAAATTTGCTTAAAAACGTCTCGCTGGGTTTCTTGCTGGTTCTTCCCAGGACAGAGGGTTTTTTCCAACCAGTGGTAAAGTAAAAAATGATTTTCAATAAGAATTACACATGTAACCTATATTGAATGAAAAATATTCTATTCTATTCTTGATATTTTTTTGGGTTGACAGAGACACCAAAGCGCCACGACCATTCAATAATAGCTATTAAGTTTTTACTTAAATTCACAATAGCGTTATGGAATTTTCCGATAGTAGCCTGCACGTAAGTTTGAAGGTCGTCAGCATACAGATGGTACGAGCAGTTGAAATTAGAAGTAATAAAATTTATAAAAACTGAGAAAACTATAGGAGAAAGTATTCCGCCCTGCGGGACTCCAGTTTCGTGATCAGTTCACATTGAGCACACTTGCCCTAAATAAAGCGACTGCTGACACCCGCAAAGATAAGCAGCAAACCACTCCAAGTCTGAAGGTGCAAATCTTAAATGGGAAAGAATGGTCAGGAAGATGTTGTAGTCACCCGTTTTAAAAGCATTAGAAAAGTCAACAAGCACCAAAACAATAACTTTCTTGTTTTTCATATCATGTCTGATATCTTCGGTATATTATAAATGAAACAGCTTGTGTGGATGAGATGCTTATGGTATCTCCGAATTATTTCTATATTTATAGTCGTTTCTGCATAGGTTCTTTTCGGGTTATCTGAGGCAGCCGGGACTTAGTGAAGGCGTTCCATGACGACCACTGTAGGCTCAAATGAAGATGATGATGATACTGGTGCTCTTAAACTTCGTCTGGTTTTGTTTTTAATTATTTATTTATCTATATTTTAACCATTTTAAGTGTCCATCCATCCATTATGGCCTACAAAAGTCTACTGTTGAACATAGGAAACCCCATAGATTGCATCATAGGTGGATTTTGCCATAGTTACCACGCCTGACAGGTGGGTTTTCAACCGATTTTAAGTATGTTCATATCTTATTATTTTGATATGTATTTATGATTCCTAACCAGGTGAAAACACAATTGAGATACCTTCAAAAGAGTATTAATTTGTTATTACAGCCGATGAAATAGTGCGACCATGTGCCTTGACGGACCTGGCTTGCATTAGGCGCAATCTTGCTATAAACTCGCGCTGCAACCCAAACGTGCTGGGGCGTGTCCCAGCTGAGTACAGCGTGCAGCTGTTGAAGTTTTACGCACCATATTTCAACTCCAGCTACGAAGACTATAACCTTATAGTCAGAAACCATAATAGATGCAGAGTTTCCGAGTTTTTGTAAGTATGTTGTTTTTATATTATACTAACGATTCGCCCCAGCTTCTCACGGGTGATTTCATAATCTCAAAAACAGCGCCACCTACTGGATCCAATTGTGAATTTAAACTATCCAGTCAAACAAACATCAACACAATTTCATCAAAATCGGTCGAGCCATTTTCGAGTTTTTACAAGACTAATGCGCGGCAGTTGATTTTTATATAATAATTTAGATTGGCAAGTGGTCTCGACAATCCGCCTAGTGGTAAGCGGCTATGAGAGCCCATGAACATATTCCATTAAACAGTGAAGGCCATTGATAATCACTAAGAAAATTCACATCACAGGTTATGTTTATACTGGCTCTACTACCGCTATATATATAAAGTTTTTGTGTAGTTATCTTTTATTTCCGTTTATGGAAAGCCTCGTATCGTACTTTTTAAAATATTCTAAGACAACTTTACTAAAATCCGGTAAGATGGTAAACCGCACTGTTCTATAGTAGCAAATGCCTACTCACTCTTGCTTTACAGACACTCACGTTTTCTCTATAGGCTTCTTTTTTATAGAATAAGGGTGATAAACGAGCACATCGTCCACCTGGTGGCGGATACTGTGGCTCATAGACATCTACATCTATCCTCGACTAAGAATTAAAATGCAGATGCGTTGTCACCCATGACGACCAAGATACAATGTCTCGTTTTCAGTAAAAAGGGTCTACAGTTTTCCACACTCACCATACGAAACACAGCATTGGCGGGGAGTGAGTACAGTATGGGCAAAGACCCCGCTTTATCAATGTGCGTGTCAGTTAGTTCAGATGTAAATAACATTTATTGTCAAGATTGAATTTAGTAAGTTACCTATAGTAAACACTAAATCCCTTTAAAATCGAACAAAAAAAATGTTTACTTTCATAAATACTATGCCTATATGTATCTACTAGCTGTTCTCCGCGACTTCGCCCGCATGTAATTTAGGGTTTTAATTATGTTGCGCGGAACCCTAATTCTTTTTTTAAAATTTAAGTAGTGTAAGTTACTCCTTATAATATCAGCTATCTGCCAGTGAAAGTCCCGTCAAAATTGGTCCAGCCGTAGGATTAGCCGGAACAAACAGACAGACAGACAGACAAATTTTTTAAAGATTGTGTTTTTGTTATAAGTACCGTATATACTTTCATATGCATTTAGTAAAAAGCTGTTATTTTAACATTACAAACATACACTTCAGTTTTATTTATTTGTATAGATAAGTATCACCGGGTTGTTTGTCACATACAGTACTTATAGGCTTTTCTGTACTGTAGGTTTGAATTTAATACGCGAGGCAACGACTTTGTTTTAATAGACAATGCCCGGTTAAAGACATCTTCTGGGCCAATTATATTGTGTGTGTGATGACGAGATGACATGATTTCAGTTTCAATCTGTCAAGTGAAACAGTCTTGCTGGGGCTAGACTGTCCCCAACTGGAATTTGAATCGAACCGCACTGTGATCCAGCACGCTACGTTTAAGGAAGACAAATACTTTAGTTACAGATATAAAGGAAATTATCGTAAGTATATCCTATACAAGATCGTATGGATTATTATCAAAATCAGTAATTTAAAGGTAGTTTATGGACCGGAAAGTGACGTAGGCGTGAGATTTATCTAAAGCGCAATTCTGTAGTTCCCTCTTTACATTGTTTTTGGTTTGGATTGACACATTGGCTGTGATTTTCCGAAATTATGGCAAATTTAAAAAAATAATAAAACAAATTTACCGGCCTCCACGCGGGCGAAGCCGCGGAAAAAAGATAATTTTATAAAATAATAAGATATGTCAACGAAACTTAATAATAACTAGGAATTATAATTCATGATAGCCTAATTCTTTTTTTGAAATTCAAGCGCGTTAGAACAGGGATCGGATTGTGCGAGTGAGAAGACACGAATAGCACTGCCACTTGGGATTTGTTTCTTTATTTGCGCGATAAATACTTAGAAGGTATTATGGAAGAGTATTATGATAGGAATATATTAGAGCTAAGGCAAAATGGTTCAACGCTCACTTATTTTGATAGACTTAGAGTCAATCGAGCTCAAAACTTCGTGGTGGAAATAGTCAGTCGCAGGTAATACCTAGATAACTGCAACTAACTTCAAACAAAGATGGCCACAGAAGCTCTATCAACTCTATATGATTAAGGTAGAATGACCAGTGCTTTTCATTTTTATACTATCTTCATCTAACATCTTTAATTTTCTTCACAATTTATGAACATTATCAGTTGGGATTAACGTTTAATTTTAAAACTTACAGCATTGGTTCGCTTGACCACAAACCTGCGCTATGACAATGAGCTGAATTTGTGTAAGTCCTTCACTTTTGCTGATGTCACCGCCCTGCCAGCTTTTCTTATCAGTCCAAATGGTAAATATTTACATTAAACAACTTCTTATAGATATAATAAGACGAAGAATTTAGTTCATCTCCCGTTAAAGCCATTGGATTTTAGTCAGGTGGAGGTACCTATTCGCTATAAACCAGATTGTAGATAAAGTTCATCAACAGGCAATTAAGCAGTCCCACCATTCAGCATCTAGATTTCAATTAGGTTTTCTAAGTTTTATTTCTAAGAAACTTGGCCCTTATATAATAAAAATTATTACGATAACTTTATTTAATATAAATTTATTCGAGTTTTAAGAAACTACTAGGTATATGGAGTTTATCACACGGTCAACTGTACGTCGCTTGCTCTCCAAAGAAATTTTGTATTTTTGTTTTTTCCTTCGCACATACGTAAACTTTGTTAATATATCAAGCACGTGGTAGAGCATGCTGCATGCCGTACCACTCTTATCAAACTAACCTGATGTGTTAATTATAATAAGGGTTATAGTATGATATGTACGCTAGCCTTCTTCTTAATAACTGGCTTTACGGCTCTGGGATCTAGCCCTTCTGAGGCTGAAGTTACAATATATTATAATAATTATCCTTCATAGTATACTGCTTCACAATATGTTGATGCTTCACATTGTGCAGCCCTTGGGAGATTTTGACGGCAACTTGAGCCAGCAGGCGGTATCTGAAGGCGCCTAAGCAGACAGACACCTTATTTTGAGAATCACATCACCATCAGAGCACTTGTTTCACAGTTTCCACTAATAGTTCACACGCGCAGACACTTAATACACAAAATCGCATCACTTTTGCATATCAAAGTCTACTTCAAACCATTATTTAAACAATAATACAGGAGAAACAAACCGCCGCCGGTCATGTTCCCGCCAAAACTCCAGTACGCTAGTATGTGCACAAACACCACAGAGTACTTTTTACATACTGAAAACAAACACAGGTCGGATATGGGACGACAATCCAACACGATTTAAGAGCGATGAGTCGCTGGACCAGTTTACATGTTTTCCGAGGCACAGGGGGAAACGCCGCCAACTTGCAGACTCCCAGCTGCTACTGAGAACTTCTTGACAAAAAAACCCATTATCTGGTTTTATTTATTCCATTAGATAACGAAAATTCATTGTTTGTTAGTGAAACTTAACCTTTCTTAGTAACAAAGTCTGTAACTTTTTTCTATTTACGCGAACAATACACATTTAAATAAAACTAGTTTTACGGATTTTATCGTGTATATTAACTTATATTCCTGACGTTTAGTACTCGAAACGTCAGGAATAGTCAATAAGAAGAAGTCGAAGTCAAAGAGAATAATAGGTCATTATACGCGATAAAATCCGAACGCGAAAAAAAATGTTGAAGCAGGCCCGCGCTTTACCAAGCAGGGACGCTATGGGTTTTCGCCTTATGGCGTATCGAAGTCATCAGTGCGCATTTGCGCAAACATCAGAGCCGCGTTACAATAACAGAGCAGTCCTAACAGTGCTTTGCAGCTTTATGAGTGTAGTTTTAGCCTGACCCGTGATCATATGTCACCCGTGAGGACTAAGATGGAATTCCTCTTTTCCAGAAGCACGACTGCTGGCAGTCGTGCTTCATAGAGTTACTAGCAAAGAATATAATAACTGTCCTATACAAGGTTACTAGGTAATATTACTGTAGTAGGTAGCTTGCGGTCAAGATCATAAAGTAAAAACTACCTACGTCAGGTTCCCAACAAAACTCCACGCTCATAACAATAACTAAAGCATTATGAGTTCTGACCTTGGTTAAATTGTCATTTTTTCCAAGGACTGCCAAGGACTCCACCAGTACAATACTTATAAGGCAAAGAGACCTATGCCTATACAGCCTGTTCTGACGCGTATTTTACTTCACAAAATTCTACACGTTGTAAGTAAGCTACGCGTCAGATTGCAGACAATCAATGATGTTGGTATCTCAAGGTGCCGTTACGACCACAATAACTTGAGGTTTCTAACACGATCGGAGCACTTGTGTCATTGTTTTCCATGTTAGTTCACATGTGCAAACATTTATTAAATAAAATACCTATGCTTTTACGAATCTAAATCCACTTCAAACCATTTATTAAATGATAATACAGGAGCCAAAATCCGCCCGTAGTCAGGTTTCCGCTGAAACATTATACAAGAATTTATTTAATGTAATTTTTACTTATTTATTTTAGATCCGAGGACAGAAAATTACCTCTCCAGAGACCTCACGGAACTTAACATTTTTGAAAGGGAAACTTTCTTCTGGCGCGCATCGTTATTAGCTAGGTATTTTATCAATTTAATTCTTTGTGACTTTGGATGTAACTATTAAACTACCGCGAGAGAAAAACACCATAAAAATGAGTTTTTGTTTTTTTATGCTTTTTTAGATTCATTCGTTGCTAAAATATTTTTGGGTATGTATAAAATAAAAAATGTTTTTATTGTTTGCTTGTTTTTATTCATGATTTTTTTTTAAATTACATACATAAGCTTACATGCCTGTCACCCAGAAGGGTAAGCAGAGACTACGGACTTCCATTGGACACGATTCTCTCTCGCCTCTTTCACATCCATGTCTATATTAAATAAAATGATAGAGGTTTGCAGTTGTGCGCGCATCACGGAAAAAATACTGGATAGATTTGAATTAGTTTTTCTAAGTTTTATTTCTTAGAAACTTGGCCCTTATCTAATACAAATATTACGATAACTTTATTTAATATAAATTGGAGACCCTTTTTTACTGGAAAAGAGGCATTCCATCTTAGTCCTCACGGGTGACAACGCATTTGCATTTTGATTCGCAAACGAGGATAAATGTAGATGTCTATGGGTCACAGCAACTAGTTACCACCAGGTGGATTGTGTGCTCGTTTGTCACTCTATCCTTAAAAAAAAGCAACGCGCACGAAATCGTCGCTACTATTTTTTTTTATAAAATTAAAGTGTCAAATGAATTTACAGTCCATCAGATGGTACTACGGGACTATTGCAGTCCATGTGTAGCCAACAAGTCCACCTGTAGCCAACTTCGAACTAAGAAGGTTGTTGATGCGCTCTACCTCTGAGGTCTAAGATGCCATACAGCCAATTATATTGGTTTCAGACCCTTCAGAACATAGCATTGTTATTTGGCGGTAGAAACATGTATCTACCTAGAAGTCCCAGACAGACTCCTAGCCAACTCCTACCTCCTAGTAATATCTATACGAACATGCTTGTCGGTTCAGGGTACTGTTAATTTGGCCTATCTTGAATATATCGCCAATTCAGATCCGTATTGGATTTGCCTTGTCAATTCTGCCACTCACTTCTGCAGAATCAAATGTTTCGGATTCACTAGCGTTATGACGTCAGGTTGGACTTCGACACTGTTTCAAACGGGCGATGCGTGCAGCCGCCCGCTGCGCGGCATGGCTTATGGGTAAAGCGTAAGGCGAATGCGGGGTTTGTTTTATCACTCTTTTCTCATATTTTCTACTTGTCCAAACCACTCAAGCATCGAAGCATTCCTTCCAACATCGTCTTGCAAACCACACTTTTATTATAAGATAAAATTTACCTATCATTCAGGATCATATCAAACACTTCTTGATGACCGCATTTATACAGCATTAATTTTACTCTCATGTTTCTTCTAAGATATTCAACGTTCACTTCATATTAACGTTGAGACTAGTACAGCATTGTGATTTGCAATACGTGCCTTTTTGACACATTCCGAATTCACACAACAGAGTGAGCAATAACCGTGTCCTGCATTCTTTTCGTTTAATATCCTTGCCATGTCTCCTAACACCCCTGCTAAACATGCGCAAATTATATGACTAAGAAGAAAATAGTAATATTTTAATGGACGTTTAAGTTAGACGCGATAAAATCCGTAAAATTAGTTTTATTTAATGTCAAGTATTCATATAAATGTAAGGAATCATTATCAGCATAGTCGATGATGGGAAGTATTCACAATTGCACTAGTAGTTACTTAGACAATAATAGCAGAACATTTTTAATACGGTATAAATATTTGAGCGTATTTGTAGACTTTTGACACAAATTGTGTGAAAATGAAAACAAATCAAAACGTGATACGAGGCACCTAATATAACGAGCTGTCCGATAAAGTCAAGATCTTTAACTTGTAGAGAGTAAGGAATAATAGACCCATTAAAAGTAATGGAAGGGAAAGAGCTGGATTCAAGTTTAGTCAATCGACGTTAGCTTTATTATTACTGTCTGGAATTTCAATGGAATAACAAAAATGCCTAACCTATTGGACCAGTAAGTATCAGTTTAAGGAGGCGATAGTATTGTTGAACTCATCCGATGATGCCTGTAGATAGTTGTGGATCCTTTGCATAAAGATACATGTAATAAGATGCATAACCGAGTGGCATTTCCTAGTTCTACCCTCACTTCATTGTATTTTATTTTCTACCCTCACTCATAACATGCCTAAGACTATTTTGGTAGTAGGCACACCAGGTGACCGAGAACTTTTTTGACTAAGTTCATACATTGTTTTTTTTATAGGATCGAGTGACAAACGAGCACACAGTCCACCTGATGGTAAGTGATTGCTGTGGCCCATAGACATCTACATTTATCTTCGTTTGCGAATCAAAACGCAGATGCGTTGTCACTCGTGAGGACTAAGATGGAATGCCCCTTTTCCAGTAAAAAGGGTCTCCGGTTCTCTACACTCACCATACGAAACACAGCAGTGTTAAACTGCTATTTGACGCTGGTTTTCTGTGAGAGCGTGGTCCTTCCCCGGTTGAGCCGACCCATTCGTGCTACAACTATACTACTAATATAGCTGCAGCGTGGCTCTAACACGTAAAAAAAAGGTTAGGTTGTGTTGGAAAGGTTATAGAAAAAAAGCAACTGACATTTATTTTATAATTTTATTTATAAAATTCATCACATTTCGGAACACTATGCGTTTTAGGGGCATTTTAAAAGGCGAAGCTAATTTCGACATATTCTTTGTAATAAATTGCAACATTATTAAACTTTCAATATTATATAATCATCTGAATAATTATCGGAGCATGACTATTAGTTTTATTCAAACAATTTAAAATCACACATTTCACAGATTATACATTAATAAACATTCTATTATTATAAAATATCAATCTATGGTCGATGCACATCCATGGACAAAAAGACAATTAGTCTATGGTAGGGTAGTTCGATACTCGTAGATAGGTATTGTCATATGTAAAACCATTTTCCGTATATATATATAAAAAAAATAGCTCCTTCAAATTTTAATTTTAATATTAATACTGGACTTCGGCTAGCTTGGAAACGACAGTTAAATAGTTTATGAGTAATATTTTGTTTATTGCTTCTAATATTAATACAGTTTAAATATTGTGTTTTTTTTGTACTTATAAACAAAGAACACTTCAAATATAAGTTTAAAAAGTGAGTGCTGAACATTAATTATAAGAATATACCCGCCAATAAATTCTTAATATTCAAAAACCTACGTATACATACATAACAACAAACATTTATTACATCGAAATAATGACACATACATTCACATTAAATTATACACAAGGGATATTCAAACTGACAATTGAGATTACGCTTAAATTTAACGATCTTAGTGCTTTTTTCACTAGCCGACACGATAACGATATATGTCACTAATACAGATATAGAGGCACTTAAATGCATGCGACTTATGATGCTTTTTCATTGACCGATACAACACATTATCTTAGTCGACATCGACATGTCGGTATTACGTTCGCATTCCACCGATCTGAATCGTCCCGATTAAATCAAGAATGTGTGACGTAGATATTCTATACAATTATACGTGGTAGAGACACACTGCAACTGTATTGTGGTTGTAGCACAGACGGATCAGCTCAACCGGAGAAGGACCACGCTATCACAAAATATCATCGTGAAATAGTAGTTTAATGCTGCTGTATTTCGTATGGTGAGTGTAGTGAACCGGAGATCCTTTTTACTGCATTTTGATTCTTACTCGATTATAAATGTAGATGTACCATCAGTTGGAATGTGTGCTCGGTTGCCACCATTATTCTATATAAAAACCTGCCGTGACCTGCTTGACAGGCATTTCCATTGAAACGAGCAACATGCGTTTATGTATAACGTAATAATATAATATGCTGTTTGTTTATATCAATTAATGAAAGCAATTTTAATATTGTGTATTTTTAATTTGTCGAAAAAATGTAAAATTTAATCGGATCTTCTTCTAGTTTCAGCTTCTCGAATAATGTATTACTGTATATAATGTACCTGCTTCACATGTCTTTGTTTAATTACTGGATGTAACCAAAATTATTTGAAATTTTTCTTAAACTCCGACGTAAGTAAAACAGAATAAAAATAAAACGTTGACTGCCATATTAAATGAATACAATATGGCAATGAGGCATAACGTTTTGTTTTATTACCACAATATCGATATAGTGACGTTGAATGAACTACCGGATAATATCGGTGTCGGTGAGGTACGTCGGTGACGATCGTTACCGGCCAGTGAAAAAAATTCTCTTAGAATTAACACGCGACGTGACGGAGACGTAACTCCTTTCATATAAGTATAGTTATTTCACAATGAAGGTTTGACTTTGGCTGTTGTTAGTCGTGCACATACACATTGTGTTAGTGTGCGTAGGCTTCGCTCGGGAGCACTCAGACACGACCGCGAGTCGAACGAATCGCTGTTACACACACAAACGCGCCTGTCGGTACTCGTCACTACTACAATCATTTCGCCTTCAACGTGAATTAGAATATGAAATAAATAGATTATGGCACACGATTATTACATTAGAAATATTGGACGAGTCAATTTAATAGTACATACAATTTTATTATTTTAAAGTTAACAAAATACAATTGGAATTTATATTCACTGTGAGAAAATATAATGAAATAAAAAGGTAATTAGCAGCTTAATGCGTCCCACAGCTAGGCATAAGCTTTAATTTTTAAGAGAGTTATAGAGCAAAATAGTAAAAGCAATACAAAAGTTAAAATGGAATGTGTCAGCGTAAAACTAATGGTAAACTTCATTTATAATATAATAAATTTTTGTAATTATTCTTACATTAATCGTCACGATCACGTCGCGTACAAGTGACTAAAAATATTTATATATAAGTATACTAACTGATCATTTTTCGTAAAATTTCAGAAATTATTTTGTTACATGTGAAAAATTAACAAATATCAAAATCCCGTTTTGTTTTCAAATAAGAGCCATCTATTATAAATCTCAAACAACAATAAACATTGCACTAAAGATCTTTTCCTATTTTTAATCTG